GCTGACTGCGTTGCTGGCGGCAGCAGCAAATGTTGGCGCTGAAACTGTTGCTGCTGGCGTTGCAACTGTTGCTGTTGTCGTTATTGTCGTTGCAGCTGTTGCTGCTGTCGCCGTTGTCGTTGTCGTTGCTGTTGTTGCTGATGTGTTGCTGCTGCTACTGGTGGTGGTGTCTGCACCGCTGACGCTGTCTGCTCCGCCAAATAAACTCTTGCTGCCATCACCGCCTGTACCCAAAGCTGGGAACGTGCTGTTGGCGCTTTGACCAAAGCCGCTAAAGATGTTGGCCGGTTGAGGTGCGGCATCTGTGGATTACATAAACTCAGTTTAATCAATACCCCTTTCTGATGCAGTGCATCAATAACAGACCTGCTGTGCTGTCCTTTGTCTGCGGCTTGCAAATATTGATCGAGGCAAAGAGATTGTCGACGGGCGGTGCACTGCTGCTGGTCACAGATGCAGCCGAAGAAGTGGTGCTTATGGTGCTGGCCACGCTGCTGGTGCTGGCCGTATCGCTGGCTGCGGTGGGTGCAGCAGCTGCTGTCAAACTGGGCGTGGGCGTTGGTGCGGGAGTGCTGCTGCTGCTTACAACGGTATCCGTGCTGCTGGTTGCTGGTGTCGTCGTAGCAACAGCTGTCGGAGCAGCTGCGGGCGCAGCTGTAGTGGCAGCTGCTGGAGGTGCAAATGGTGTTGCGCTGTTGCCCAGCGAGGAGCCAAAGCCGCCGAAGCTAAAAGTAGAGCTGCTGCCGCCAATGGTGTTGCCCGCATTGTTGCCAAAGCCAGCAAACGTAAACGGTTTGGCAGCTTGCTCTGATTTGGTTGCAGCGGTAGCTGGTGCTGCAGTTGGAGCTGGTGCTGCAGTCCTGGCGGACTCTGCAGCTGTTGGCTCCACAGGGACGGTCATATCCTTTTTAGCCTCCACAGGCTTGACAGACGCCTCCTTGGGCGGCTCCGGTGTTGCTTTAGGCTTGACAGTGTCCACGCTAACATTGCCAAAGCCCGAAAAAAGATTGGGCGCAGGCGTTGCCGTGGTCTGGGGCTTGGGCGCCGCGTTTAGGCCACCGAAAGGCAGCATGGGCTTTGCGCCGCCAAAGCTGAAGGGTGAGGTGCCACCAAAAAAGGATGTTGTTGGCTTGGTGACCTCGCCCGCGCTTAGTGTCGTTGTGGTCACCGTGGACGCAGTGGTCTTAACAAATGGACTGCTCTGGCTGAAGCTAAAGGTTGCTGGCACAGGCGCAGGTGCCGAAGCGGCGACAACGCTCACTGGCAAGCTGTGCAACTTCTCCATGGCCGCAACGGTTGCTGCGGGCTTGGAAGCGGTGGGCTTGGCCAGCTGTGGTGCGCCCACTGCAACTGTAGCTGCCTGAATAGCTTTGTGAGCCACCGCTGGCTTGGCGCTGGCTGGCGGTGCAGTTGTTGCTGCTGCTGCCGCCGCTGCTGTCTTTTTCTTGAGTTCCGCTTTCAGTTTAGTCTCCAATATGACTTCAGACTTGAGACCCACACGATCCGGTCGCTGTGGACTGATTATGTGCACATTATGCTGCTGCAGCAACTGGCGTATGCAGTGCAATTTCTGTTGCGACAGCTTGGCGCGATTCGTTTCCACCACCTGATTGAGGGTGATCGAGAGTATGGAGTCGGCTAGTGTGTCCACGCTGTGTCAGAAGGAACAAATAAGTCCAGACCAACTAAATGGTATCCATGGTATATACTCACGCCTCATTAGTGCGCACGCGACTGGACTCCTGGTTGAGCAGAGCGGACTGCAGCAGCCCGCGTTCCTTGAGCCTAGATTTGATGTTGTTTTGCGTGATGCGCTGATCGGATGTCATATTTTGCAGGCGCGTCAAACGCTGATAGATGCCCTCCAGGCAGGGCATATGCATTTTTGACTTGGAACTTCGGCGCAGCACATCCTGATACTGTTCCCACTGTGCATCAATTTGCTGCTGTGCCAGCTGCAGCTGTGCCTCGTTGGCGGCCACATAGCTCTGCAGGCGCGACAGCAGACGACGACCCGCCGCATCAAAATTGGTGGAGGTCATCAGGCGCGTAATGCTGCAAAGAGGAAACAAATTTAAAAGGATTGGTTACAATTTAACAGAATAAAATAGCTGTAGAATGCAAAGTGAATAGGTGCAGAAATTATAGACGAGACGTCTGTCTGAAATTAGATATGAAGCTGGAGATTTCTAAACCTTGGATGTAAAATCTATTATAAATGTCAAGACACTTACTCTGGCTTCCTATAGACCTCCAGCTTGGCACGGCATTCGGCCATCATGGCATAGGCTTCGCTCAGTGTATGACGCAATCCCTGGACATCCAGCTCAAAGTCAACATCGTTGGCCTGCTCGTTCAGCTCCTGTAGATCCTCCAGACGCTTGGCATAGAACTTGATCGTGGAGGGTGACTCGATCTGCGTGGGACTTAAAATATTATTTTCATAAAAAAAAAAGTGAATTAGTTACCTGTGAGAGCAGCGCTTGGGTCTGTTGCTTTTGCTGTTCTATCTGCTCGCTAAATGCGCTGATCTGGACATTCATGATCTCCACAATGACATCGTCGACTTCCCCAGCGCTAAACTCCGAGCTCTTGCCTGCAGCCGGCGGCTTCGGAGCAGCTGCATGAGCGGTCACCACGGGCGTGAAAGTAGGCGGTACCGTATAAAGGGGCTTGTTGCTGTTGGCTTTGGCTGCAGCAGCTGCTGCAGTTGTAGCCGGTTGCGATGCAGCAGTAGGAGCAGGAGCCGGCTTGTCCATTGCTACGTTGGTAAAACTGGGTGTATTATTGGAAGCGGGAAGACTAAACATGGAACCTGTTGGCGGGGGCGCCGTATTGGGTGCGCCAAATCCCCCAAAGCTGGGCGCAGGCAGCGGTTTAGCTGGAGCAGCGGCAAAGTTTAATGGAGCAGCAGGAGCACCAAAAGCGGGCGGCCCTTTGTTACCCACATTGCCGAAACCAGCAAATAGCGAGGGCGGCTTATCTTTCATGGGTGCGGGCGTCGACGTAACAGTATTGGGTGTAAAGGCAAAGGAAATGTCCGACAGCGCAGGCGTGTTGGCCTCCACAGTAGCTACGGTAGCCGGTGGTGGAACTGCTGCTGGCGGAGCTGGTGGCTGCTCCTCAGTGCCCAATAGCGCATCCAGCGCACAAAATTGTCCCGAAGTGTCAGCCAAAGGCGGCGGCGGCGAGCAAACAGAGGCAGCGCCCGGCTGTAGATTGAGAAAATTGAAGGCGAGCAAAGTGCCATCGGTGCCTAGGACATGCACCATGGGCATGCTGGGCAGCTGCTGCTCATTGATGCTCAGCTGATGCGTACTGGAGGTATCATACGCAAAGCCCAATGGGAATGTTTCATCCTGGGTAGCCTCGCTTAACGGCATCTCAATGCGCGCCTCGTCCAGCAGCGTCAACTGCTGCCAAGTGGGCGTATCACCCGCCTCCGTGGTGGCTAGTACGCCCACCTCCACGCCGTTCGCCGAGCTGACCAACAGCAGATTCCATTGCGGCACATGCGTGAAATTGAACTGATGATTGCGTGGCCCGTTCAGGCTATAGCAAATGTCGTAGTAGTTTGTATAGGTGGGCGCGCCGGCCTTGGGTGCATTAATAATATACAATGCCGGGCTGCAGTCCTCGCCATGCTGGAGAAAAACAACTGCAAACTGAAAAGTAGACAGCCAGTGTACGGCAATCGTATCGAAGGGCGCATCGTGCACGTTGGGCGGGCAGGCGAGTGTCTTGGCGGGTGTCAGATCTGGCTTGAATTGCTGCAAACGACCGCCGGGAAAGCCCAAGACCAGCTGCTTGCCCTTAGGTGACCAGCAGCCGCATTTGATTTGCTGACTCTTGTCCAGCGTGTGAAGCTCAAAGTTTCCGCCATCCTTAAGCGCATACATGGCCAAGCCACCGTTGCTAAGCACCACAGCCAAACTGTTGGGCAGCACGGGATTCCACAGCAGCTGCACGGCATACACATAGTCCTCAGGAGACATGCGTATGTTGTATAAAACGCAGGGCTCTGGGCTCATAAAGGATTGCACTGCATAGATGAGGAACAGACTGTTGCCATTTGGCTGCGTATAGTTAATGGCCAGAAGATTGCCATCGGCGCTGCAGGACATGTAATTTGGTATGCTGGGCAGCGGCACGAGCCGTGCGAGCGGCTGCTTGCCGCACGTCTTGGCAGCGGCTACATCTTTGATGATTATAACTAACAAACACATAGGATAAATAAGCTTAGTATGATCTCAGTATAATTAACAAGCAGCATGTATACCTCTCAGTTCCGGCGCGTTGGGATTGCCGGCAAAAAGTAGTCCACGGCTGCTGGAGACAGCCAATAAATTCACATTGCTGCGTGGCTCGCCGCATTTTCGAAATGCCACAAACTTGTCATGCAATTTGAATTGTATCTCCTGCAATGTCCACACACAACAAAATCAGTCAAAATGTATGCATACATGTATTAAAACTACGCCGATTTGCATACCTGCGTGTCTTTACAATTAGGTGCATTTTGCGCCATTTTTTCGATAGCAGCGTCTTCGCCTGAACACGTGCTCGTCGCTTTTATGGGCACGCTGCAAGTATTTTCCAGTAAATAAACAAAATTTCAATTACTTAAATGAAAGCTAAAATAATGACACCGCCTTTTGCACAAGGAAATAACAAAAATGGACTAAACAAATAAATTTGCAAACCTTGCGTTGCTGCTGGAAGGCAAAACAATTGATGATACTTGCGTTGATATCGATTACAATCGTCACTTTCGATAAATTATAAATAAATTATTTTGCATCTAAGTTTACTTGGCCTCAAGAGCAATAATTAAACTGTACAGGTATTTAATTAGTACATGTACTTATTGTACAAAATTAATTCTTGTATCAATTTGACAGCAAATTCAAATCATTAGGAAAACCGCAAATTTGTGTTAGGCTGGCAATGCCGCACAACAGCTGTTGCTAATTGCTTATCGAAAATCGATAGCGCATAGCTACACTTTTCGCGACATATACACATCTCCAGCTGTGTTGTTATTTGTCCGTCTCTGTCTGCGTTTTTGTTTAACAAAAGCATTGTTCGCGCGCGCAATGCAGCCAGAAACTGCACTAAGTGGTCGAAACGAAAAGTAACAAAAAATGTAGTTAAAACAATTGGGCAATTAGTTATTGGAGTGCTGCGCAACACGGTGCTACGGCGTTGTTGTTGTTGTTATCGTTGTAATTAGCAAACGGAGAATCACAGCAACCAACAAAAAAAAAAAACCAGAAAAACATCGTAAGCGTCAAAATTTGTTTGTTCCTTCAACGAGTATACACTAAAAACAAAACAAGCTTAACTAGAACGTTTGCAAATTGGGTGAGTTATTGTGCAAGAAATTTCAGCGACAAGGTGAGCACCAGCTATAGAAAGAAGTCTGCTTATTGAAGCGCAAATGCGTCTTACTTCATTTGTAATTGAATTTTCATTTATTCTATTTGTCAGCGGCAGCGGCAGAAGCAGAAGCAGAGCAGCGTAACAAAGGACGCGCAAAGCTTTCAATATGATCAGCAGCTTATTTTCACGGCTAATAATGTGAGTAAGAAACGAAAAAGAATTTATTTTAGTTCGCTCTTTGGCACGCCGAAGATTTAATACTCTCGCAGAGGTGCTTTAATATTGTTGCTACCGGTCAGAATAATCAAAAGTGTTAAAAGGTCAATTAATGAATAAATTAAAATATGTATTTGAGCCGATTTTCAAAAGTAGTCATATAAAGTAAAATAATAGTCAAAATTCAATACCTCAAAAATATTACGTATAAAATGTGTAATATTAAATTCTTTTTTATGCAGTTGTCATCAGTTGTAATCATTCTACTTACAGTATGTCAATAAAGTGTTTTTACTAACAAAAAAAAACTAATTTTTTGGGTTTAGTTGAAAATAAATGTACCTAAAAGTGAGAATTTTTTTTCAATTATAATTTATTTCGATTCTATATTTCTCCTAGAACTTAATGGCAAAAAGAATTGTTAAATAACATTACCCAAACATTTTATAAAATTAAAAAACTAAAAACATTCACATTTTATGCTGTCAATAAAGTGTTTTTACAGCTACGGTAAATTGTTTTGCCGTTCTCTTTTGGGTGATCCCGTTAGATTTGGGCCCATGCGTTTTGGCTTCTCTTGTGTCTTCGACTTTTCTTGTCATTTTCTATTGCAATTTATAACGTTTTGCTTTAATTTTATGAAAAATAAAATGCCAGGAAAAAGAACAACTTTTGAAGTCGCTCAGCTGGTGTATTATAACCATCAGATGGGACGTCAAGTCTCGGAACTGGCTGATATGTTTAATTTATCAAAAGCAACGATATACAACATATTAAACAGAGCCAATAAGGAAGATAGGCTAGAGGCAAAGCCAGTATGTGGTCGACCCTGCAAAATTTCTGACAGAGATAAGCGAAAAATTCTGAGAAAAATTGAGAAAAATCCACAAATTTCGCTTAGGGATATTGCTCAGGAGTTCAAGGAAGAAAGTGGTGTTGATGTGTTACATGAAACTGTCCGAAAATTACTGAATTCCAATGACTACACATCACGAGTTGCCAGGAAAAAACCTCTACTATCGGCGGCGAATATTTTGAAGCGGCTATCGTTCGCTCAAGTCCATGTAAATAGTTCGAACGATTTTTGGAGTAACGTCATATTCTGTGACGAAAGCAAGATGATGCTATTCTACAACGATGGGCCATCCAGAGTCTGGAGAAAGCCACTAACAGCGTTGGAAAACCGCAATATTATTCCAACCGTTAAATTCGGAAAACTATCAGTGATGGTGTGGGGGTGTATTTCGAGCAAGGGTGTAGGAGATTTGACCTTCATTGAGAATACCATGGATGCTAGACAATATCTGAGCATTTTACAGACACATCTCGTCAGTAGTGCACAGAAATTTGGATTCTATGAGGACAATAAGCCAATTTTTAAATTTTACCAGGACAATGACCCGAAGCATAAAGCTCATATGGTAAGAGTTTGGCTGTTGTACAACTGTGGAAAGGTGTTAGACACTCCACCACAAAGTCCAGATATGAATCCAATAGAAAATGTGTGGTCATATTTGAAAAAAAAAGTCGCAAAGCGGAGTCCAAAATCAAAAACTGATTTAAAAGCTGCTGTACTGGAAGAATGGCAGAAGATTCCAGAAACATACATACAAAACCTTATTGTTTCAATGAAACGGCGATTGCAGGCTGTATGTGACGCTAATGGCAGCCACACAAAGTATTAAAAAAAAATATTCCTGTTTTTTTAACATTGTTATTTAGTAATAAAGTTTCGTGTAAAAACACTTTATTGACAGCATAAAATTTGAATGTTTTTAGTTTTTTAATTTTATAAAATGTTTGGGTAATGTTATTTAACAATTCTTTTTGCCATTAAGTTCTAGGAAAAATATAGAATCGAAATAAATTAGAATTGAAAAAAAATTCTCACTTTTAGGTACATTTATTTTCAACTAAACCCAAAAAATTAGTTTTTTTTTGTTAGTAAAAACACTTTATTGACATACTGTATATAAATTATAAAATAAACTATAATAATTACGTATCATTTAGAAGCTAATATGTATATGCATCCAATTTCCGCAAATTACTCTGTCCGACTAAAAAAGAATATGTATTTGTTACATGTATTAGCACTAAGTCAGCTTATCCACTGCGAGAGTATACTTAAGAGGCCAGCAACTACACCAACACAGACGCACGAATGCGTTGTCGCCTTTGTTGTTATTGTTGCTGACCCCCAAAAAAAGAAAAACTTGTGAGCGAGCAACTCTTTTTTTTGTTGGAGTTTTTGGCCTTGCCTCCGTAGTTCGTTTAAATTTGTTTGATTCTGCTTCCTAATTGTGTGGGCGTTACGCTGTGATTCCGAGAGCGTTGCCAACGCGATTCAATTGTTTTTTTTTTATTAATCAGCGCCAAAAGTTACCGTTAGCCGCTGTGCAGCGTCAAAGTCAATTTGAGCGGGGCGCCTTTTATGGCATTACGCGCGAGTGTGTGTGTGTGTGTGTGTGTCCGAGGTTGACGCACTCGCCTTGCCGCCACATATATGTATATGTATAAGTCATACAGACACCTCAATGGAGACTAGTCTAATGTTCCATGTGAAACACTTGCCACATTGAGCGCCCAACTCCATGCAAATTCTTTGTGTTTTGCTCATATTTATAGCGTCTCCAAGCGCCAAGCGCTGCTGCTGCTGCTGCTGCTGATCAGCTAATAGATTCAAATATATCTATGTATATAATATTGTTGTATTTCTCGCTCACATTTTGGGCAAATGCGAGCTGCAATAGAGCGCAGCAGCTGCTCTTGCTGCTATTAATAGCTGAGAATTCTATGCCATTTCGCATTAGACGCTCTCGAGCAGCTGCTGCCCGAATAGTCTTTGCGCGTCGTTTTGGCAACTAGGAACGAGACCTTTATCGCTCGCTCCGGGCAATGCGTCGCCATGAGCCGGCCTAGCTATCTGCAGGAGCAGCTGCTCTATCAGCAGCGCCAGCATCCGGCTAATATTAAACGCCTACGTCAGCAGGCGCTGCCCCTATACGGACGCAGCTATTCGCTAGAGGAGCAGGCAGCTGTCGCGGCTGCTGGCAATTTTGTGCCCGTCTATTCAAAGTTTATCTATCCAGGCCAGCAACAGGAGCAGCTCCTTCAGCTGGAGCAGTTGAAGCTGCAGCAACAGCTCGGCCTGCACGATTCGCTTAATTCTTTGAGCAGCGATTTTACAGACTATGACTATGAGGCACCTTTCATTGTGGAACAGCCAGCAGCAAATGCAGCACCAGCTGCCTCCAATGTGGTGCAGAATCTGAACGCTCTGGGCCGTTTCTTGGAGCTGCTACAGCGTTGGCCACTGCCCCGTCTATCCTTCAATACGGCCTGCATTTGCTCGCTCATCATTATATTTATAGCGCCCCGCACTTGTGCACAGAGTTTATTGTTTCCCGCTTTCAGATTGTTCTTCGGCACTCTATATCCGGCCTATGCCTCCTACAAGGCGGTGCGCACAAAGAATGTCAAGGAATATGTGAGTATGACAACCAACTAAAAATGAAGAGATCTTGTCCTTTTTGAATATATCCAATCACTTTTGCCTCTCCTTGGATAAATTTCAAAAATTCTATATTCTATATAGGTCAAATGGATGATGTACTGGATTGTCTTTGCATTTTTTACATGCATTGAAACATTCACGGACATATTTCTATCGTGGTTCCCATTTTACTATGAGGTCAAAGTGGTAATTGTCTTGTGGCTGCTATCGCCAGCCACAAAGGGCAGTTCCACATTGTATCGCAAGTTTGTGCATCCCATGCTGACGCGACGCGAACAGGTGCGTTCATAATACATATATCATATATATAGTATATAGATATAATCACTCTGTATTTTTTGACTGGCACAGGAAATCGATGAGTATTTGAATCAGGCACGCGAACGCGGCTACTCAGCGGTGCTGCAGCTGGGATCTAAGGGTGTTAACTATGCCACAAACGTCATCATGCAGACGGCCATAAAGGTAACTGAAACACATGCAGCAACAGCTACAGAAACATCAACAGCAACACATAACACACACACACACACGCACATACACTCGCACAACTAATTCATCTGGCACATTTTACAATTGCTTTTACAACAATTTGCCACCAGCGTCGTTGCATAAAATGAAATGAGCAGCACACAACAGCTACAGCAACTGCCACCGCCGCAGCAGCCGCAGCCATCGCCGCCTTAAAAACGCCTCAATTTCTGTATAGAAAATGTTTGCGCAATGTTTTTCTTTTCGCTCAGTGCCCCCGTTTCGGTGCTCATCTCTCATCAACAATAACAACAACAACAACAACAACAGATCTTCATCAACAGCATCTGTGGGTAGCAGCTGGGGCTGCCGCGTGCCAGACGCGCGTCGACATCGTCATCATTTTGTTCATTGTTTTCATTAACTTTAAATATCGTTTAAACAAACAAATAGAAAATACTTATATGTATGCTCTCTTTGTGCCATATGTTTGTTTTAGTTTATAGTTTGATTAATTTTCTCTTGTGTGTGCAGCGCTTAATAGAAATACGTTAAAAGTTAGCCAGTTTCAAAGCCATGTAGAAATACTATTTATAATAAAAAAGAATACAAGCACATCATCTATATAGATTTATATAGTATACTCAAAAGAGTAGTTTATCTAAATGTAGCACAGAATTGGGTCTCGACAACCAAACAAACAAATTGTTGCCTTAGTCCAAAACTCAAGTATGTAAACATTTCAAATTGCATTACATTTTGTTCAGAACTTTTCTTGCACGTAGATGTTTATACATTTTGTTTTTTTACATTCCACAACAAGTGGAAATACTCTTTATAAAGAAATTGATTCAGTCTGTGCGGCTCGCAAGCCTCATACAAAGAGCATTAATCATCGTCGTTAACCCAATGTTCAGGTCTTTGTGGTTACACACAAATCACTCATATGTATTTATATATATACATTTTATTATATATATATTTATCGATGTCTATTCATGGCAGAATTTCTTTGTTAAACCGCGTATCGCGTGTTCCTTTGGGTCAAGTAGCAATGAATTTCAAGTTGTATTTTTCCCACTTCCTTGTCATTTAGTCTAAGCAATTTGCTGCTGCAGTGAAACGCCATATCTAGACGTCATATTTTATACTATTTTCGTAACTTGATGTCACTTTTACCATTTTATTTCAAATGATGTACTTTTAGCTTATGTTTTCATACTTTATCAGCAGCGACTTATCTTACGACTCATCTATCTTTGTGTGTCATACTTTCATTTAGTTGTTTCAATTGTTATAAATATTATGATTATGTTGTGTACCTTAACCCATATGAACTTGAATATGTATCTCTTAAAGATCATACCTTGTATATAATATCTCATCTAATGCGAAGACACATTTTCATTGATTTGTTTGTGTTACCATAACTTTTCCTATCTGATTAATTGTAAAATGGCTTTCTGCTATATTTCCACTAGTTTTTGACATGATATTGTTGTCAGGCCACGTTTAGATCAGTTCGTATGTTTTACTATCGCTTATTATGTACGCCAGATATTAGCTATATAAATCCAAGCCCATTCACATTGAACAATTAGGTATTCCATTTCAATCTGAATTTGTAATAAACACACGGAAGCCGCCAATTAGTTGGATGTCTAACGATATCTGTTACAAATATAGGGATATATATATGTATATATGTGTAAGTCGAGTCGCCAGAGAAGCAAATTGCAATGCTGATATTTTTGCCTCTAGGGTAGGGCATATAAATAGATGGGGGATTGGCATGCGCCCGACCACGACAACTCGTTACCCAGTCTGACTGTGTGTGCGTGCGTGTGTGTGTGCGCGTGTGTGTTTGTATCTGCTGCCCTCTTTTTAATTGCACTTTATTTCCATACATATATAATTTTAAATTTAAACATCCTTTGCGCTGCCTATTTTTATTAACGTTTTTTTTTTTCTCCTTTTTTGGTTTTCTCACTTTGCGTTTCTTTGCATTTGACTTACAAAAATAAAACGAAATGAACACCTGCACCGCCTGCCTAATACTAACACCCGCGCCGCGCCGCTCCGTGCCACGCCCACGGTCCAGACCATACAGATGGCATCGCCAACGACAACGGCCGAGATGCGCAGCCTGCAAAACTCACAATCGGCCAGCGAGCTGTCGCGGGATCACGACTTGCTGGACGCCAGCGAGCTGCTGCTGCCACGTTCGAGCTCGCTGAATGTGATTGAGAGCTATGCTGACGAGCGCATGGTCATCACAGAGCTGCACGAGGAGATGGCCATTTCAGAGCTGAATTACAGAGATGCGGGCGCTGCACGTTTACGTGATTTGCCCATCCGCAAGACCAGAGCGAACAGAGCAACCGCTGTCACAGCGGGCACAACCGTGACCAAGCGTGCCACACGTGGCGCCTCCAAGAGCAAACAAACGGATTTGCTGTACGGCGATGGCGGCGGCGGCATACGTGGACGCCGCAAGCTGCGCGAGCCCACGCCCGATGTGGACGTTGAGGGGGATTAGTTAGGGAATCCAAAAAGCAATCGCATGATACTCAGCAAATGCAAGCACAAACAAAATTAAGCGAATTTCTATTATTTTGCACACGCGACACCTAACCATGTCGTCGTCATCATCACCAGCCACTATATACACCTAGTTAACATAGTTATTATTTGAATACATCATTCTCTATATATATTTATGCATATTTTTAGTCTGTTTAGTTTTAATATGCAATTGATATACAAAAAAAAAAAAAAAAAAAACAAAAACACAGAGCTACAAGTCTCTCGCTTTCACTCATCCGTTAAGGGCGGCGGCAACTTGGTGCAGACCATCAAGCGCAGCTACAGCCTCAGCGATCTGAGTGAGCCCGATATGCATCGCACCCAGGATGAACTGGACGAGGTCATGTCTTCAACATCAACAGTGATGATGCGTCCCCAGCCAGGGCGACTGCTGCGTCAGCGCCATCAGACGCCGGTGGGACGTTCCGCTAGCGGCACACGCCACTCAACTGGCATGTACTTTGGCGAGGTGGATGTCAGCTCCAGCTCCAGCTCCGCTGCTGCCGGCAAACATGCTGGCGATTTCAAGTGAGTTTTGAATGTCACATTTGTTCTGCTCTATCAATTTAACACACCTCCATGCACACACAGCTACAATATACGTAGCACGGATGACATCAGTTCGGGCTATTCCAGTGCGGAGCCGGTTAGTGCCCCACTCGCCAGCGGCCTAAGTCGCACCTCATCCATGACAAATGCTTCCAAGGGCCGTGTGAAGTCAAAACGGAACGAGGTAAGCTTTGTGCTTTTACTGTAGCCGAGGTGTTTCCTAATTTACTGAAGGATTGGGCTGAATTTCTAAACAAATTGTTGGAATTTTTTATGGGGCATTCCGGTTTTTCTGGGTCTAAGCTAAGCTATATGAGTCTGGATTTCTGTTTTGATTTTAATAATAAATAACAAATAACAATCTTTAGCTAGAGAGAATTAAATATTTAGAAGCACCTCGGGCTAACTGTTTGACTCTGTCAACTAACTATTCAATTAGAGTTTCCTAATGGATATTATTGAAATGATTCGATTAGCAAATGCTGGAAGATATGCGCGCAGAGGTATATTTGGAAAATGAGCGCTACTTTCAAATGGCCAGAGCGCAACAGCTGAAGAGTAATGCCCAGAGGCAGTTGCAGATTGTGGAGAGCGAAGAAGAGAATGACAGGAACTACGAGAAGCAGGAGGAGGAGGAGGAGGAAGATGAGGATAGCTTCTATGAGGCAATGAATGCATTAGAAGCTGTTGAAAGCATAGCTTCAGCACAGAGCATAGAGTCAGCTGACACGGACGAACCTGCTGCAATTGAAGAGCCAGGCAAGAGAATGGAAACAGAGGAGCTCAGCGAGAACGAGGAGTCGTTTAAGGAAGCCCTGAATACAGCACCAGCTGATGCGGAAATCAATTTGGGCGCCTACCAAATGAAATCCATTGAAACGGCCAACAAAGCAGATGACTTTAAAGCACTTGTGGATCCCTTTTTATTGGTGGTAACCGAGTCCAAATTGGAAATGGAAGCAGCGGAAGCAGCCAATGCAGATGTTAAAAAAGCGCAATCCGTGTCACCACGTGAGTTGGTGGCTACGCTGGAGGAGATCAAGCACAGTTTTCGCGCGCAGTTGGAACCGGAGACATCACCACTGCGTCCCAAGGCACAGCATGGCAAGGGGCGTGCACCGGCGCCGCCTGTGCCGCCATTGCCGCCACGCAAGGAATCGCGTGCAGCGGACAATGTGAGCCTCAACTCTGTGACGTCCACGCAATCGGAGCGCAGCAAGTCAGGTATCGGCTATCTATTCAAAAGTATGAAAGATAATGTGCTGCGCAAAGCTAATCAGCAAACGGATGAGGCGCTCAGCAGCAGCTCAGCCAAAGAAACGTCCATTTGATGTAAGCCACAGACAGCCACGAGGCTAAATCCCCGTACAGCTCATCCAAGTGTTAATCGCATCGCTCGTCTCTGATCCTAACTTACAAAAACCCCCTCGTTGCGCATTGTACAGAGCCTTGTGTTGCCCACTAACAGAAACGTTTTGCATTTTCAGCATGTTTATTTATGCGTTAGTTCTAGCCCAATTAGAACTTAATCTAATGTACGTTTTTTAACATTTCTTTGCAGGACAAATCCATGTCCGCTAGCTGCACCACCTTGCCCCGCAGCAGCAGCAGCCGCAAGGCGGACAAAGCTCAGGCAACGACTGCTTCGGGCCAGGTCAAAACGCGCATCAAGCTGGAGAAGTAGAGGGTGCATCTTAAATCTACCAAATTAGCTGATATATCTATAAATCTATATATGTGTATGTAATCTCTATTCCTATCGAGAATGTCTTTTAAATTAGTTGCTCGGTGCTCAAATTTGGCCAATGTGTGTGAAGCGTGCGGACGGCAATGTTAAATGAAAGAAAACAAGTGTAAACCTCATGTTTTAGTTTAAATTGTAATCTAATACTGATATTATGATAGTGATCAATATTATCATAATTCGAATTGATGATAATATTGGATTTTGTTTGTGATTCTGTTACGAGTTCCCCTTCGGAAATTTAACTAGCCAATAGATATTGATATTCATTTCGTAGCCACGTCTAGTGTTAAGTGATTGTCCTATGCTACAACCAGGTTCTAAATGCAACTATAATACTAACCAAAAACAAAATGATCTATCTGAATTTGAAGTTTAAATTCGATGCATTGTAATTGATAATTCAATAAAACTTAAACATACATATGTAAATTATGGTTAAATACCCTTTCAATGGACTGAGAAAATTTGTGTATTGCCGATAATCGATTTTTAATCTGGGCACAAACTATTGTACATAGGGAAGATATGCATGTACATCTGCCCTATAGAGTGCACTTGCCCGTCTATCCCTCTCTCTCACACTTTCTTAGTTTAGTTTGTGGACGTGCATGTATGTATTTTTGTATGTATGTACGTATGTATGTATTTACTTATGAAAAGCATATATTCCGGCTTTCAAAAACGTGTAAGTATTTCAAACATCGCATGCGATCAGCTATTATCAGCCCAACTATCGTAAAAAATGCTTAAATCAATACTACAAACATATGTATCTTTGTATATAAATCAGATACATATTAGCAAATGACTTGAAATGGTATTTTAAGGTGTTCATACATACGTATTATTTTCCTTTTCTACGTCTTGTGTTGCCAGCACTTGTGGTGGAAAGCTTTTTACTCATTTCACAAATCCGATATCTTTCAGTACTTTAAATATTAAAATTAAATCAATACAAGTGTATCCATTTATTTAACGTGTGATCGAAGAAAACTTCCAGTTCCAGTCTTTTCCAATCGTGACTTCTGCATATGCACAAGCTCCGCATGTTTGTATATACATATGTGTGCGTACACACACACACGCAAGTTAATACTTGCGTCGTAAGTACAGTGCATAAGAAGCCAGTCTGCAGTTTAGGTGCCACCAGCAGCTTTGTTCAACTTCTCAAAACTTGCCGTATGGGAGTCGCACATGCGCAGCAGCTGATGCGAATGCTCACTGACCTTGACCCTCAATCGGCAGCGAGAGAGCGCAGACAACGGTTGAAAACGATGCGCATGCAGCCAGCCGGGCGAAACTTGTTGCCAAGTGCAGCAGCAAAGACCACGCAGTCAAGTTGAAGTTTTGCCCTCCTCCCAAACCACAAGCGTCGCCAGCACACCGACCATACATACATACACTTATATTTGCGTGTGTGTGTGTGTGTCGCTTGCAAGTTTTCACCATTAGCAGCGCATGGCGACGACTGTACTTTGCTTAAAGAAGCAGCACATAAATACATACATATACACGCAAGTATATGCTTTATTCCCACGTGTGTGTGTGTGTGTTGTGTGCCGATATACTTGTAGGTCTCGTTGCACAAGGAAGCAAAGCAAAGAAAGCGGCGTACAAACACACGCACATGCACACGGCAATACGCTAGAAACAATGGCAGAATTTTTGCTTTATGTGGCGGCACCTCCACCAAGCTGACTCAGAGTGACAAAGAGAGCGAGAGCGAGCGAGAGAGGGCGACAGCCGGCCGAAGCCATCAGCTGCCGCGCCATGTGTTCGCGCAAAAATCAGGGGGGCAGCTGCTGCATCATTTGCCGGCTTAGAGAACAAGAACTGGTAGCTAAACTGGTTAGCGGGGGGAAAGGAGTAAAAGCGGGCGATCTGCAAAAATAAAAACTTAAATTCAAGTGAAACACACATATATTGTGGGGTTATTATTATTATTTCTTTTGTCTCAAATCAGCAGCTCCAGCATTTTAATTTACAATTAAAAAACAATCACAGTGATATTTGAATTTTTCATCATCATCATCATCATCATCCTCGTAGTTCGCCTTGTTTTCTGTCTCGGTCAATTGAAAAAGGTTTTACATCTGAGTTTGTCTGTTTGCTCATCCTCATCCAGCTTTTTGCTTCATTTTCATTTCTCTTTGTCATCTTCTAACTGCCTTTGTTCTTGTTTTCGCTGTTGTTGTTGCTGCCAGCTAGCTAACATAGCTAACCCGCTAGAGATCTTGCTTGTTGATGATAGGTGAAGTGCAAAAGCTCGCCGGCCGCAGCTTTGTGGAGGAACATGCCTCGCCTCTCTTTCGTTCTCAATCCATATCGATGATCGCCTCATTGCTCTCCTACTTAACTTTGTTGTTATTTATCTTCTGCGTGTTGGAACTCCTAATAGGATACATTGTAGTACATACATACTTTTATATATTTTTACGAGTTTTTGTTTTTTGTTTTTGTTTAAGGTAAATTATATATTCTTATATAGTTTTTTGTTTCTTCCATTCGTTATAATTGTAATTAGTAAATTCAAACACGTTTGCAGCATAATAATAATAATAATATAGTTGTTGTTGCTATTGTGGTAGTAGCTACTAAAATACAACGTCTGTTTCTTCTACTACTGCTTCCAGCAGCTGCACAGCGCCACCAGCGCTATCGTTGTCTTCTCTTCTCCCAGACTATTGCTGTTCATCGTGCTTCCTCCTAGTTGTTGTTGTTGTTGTCTTGTATACACTGTTCTTCTACGACTGCAGGCTCAGAGCTTTGGAATTAGAGATGTGCTGCTTAGATGATGGTTAGATATATATGTGTGTGTGTATGGATGTGTGAGTCTGTGTGTGGGTTTGTGTATGTGTGGTCGTGTGCTTAGGGTTGTTTTTGTGTCTGTTGATCTTGACTTGGTTTAACTGATTGGTCGCTTCTTCTTCTTTTTTTTTTTTTGCGTTTGCGTTTTGCTGTTCTTGTTGTTGTTGGCTGGCAATTGATTTTTTCATTATATATTTTTTTTCTTTTCATTTTTTTATTTGACAAAACATTTTCGTTGATTTCTCAGAGAGCGCTCGCGCTGCTCTCTCCTAGTTCCGTCCACCCTTCTCATCGCATTCACGTCTCAGATGTCCACTCTTGCCACAGCCATAGCAAGTCTTTGACGTCTCCGGGCAGTTCTTGGAGATGTGTCCGGTGCGGTTGCACTTATAGCATGAGACATTTGCTGGCCCTGTGCCGCGCTCGTTAACCGCATCGGGGCAGTTGCGCACCCAATGACCGGGCTTGTTGCACCTGTAGCACGTCGGATTATCGGCCTGGGTGCAGTCCTTGGAGATGTGGCCAACACCGTTGCAGCGGTAGCAGCGCTCCGCCTCTTCGGGGCACGCGCGTGCAAAGTGCCCAAATTGATTGCATTTGTAGCACTTTTCACGATTACGACGCATACCACCACCGCCGCCGCCACCACCTCCATCACGCATACCACCGCCACCGGGTCCGCCGCCTCCTGGTCCTCCGCCGAGACTGCAGTCCCGGGCAAAGTGGCCCGGCCGGTTGCACTTGTAGCACGTGGCAGACATCGACATTGTACTGTACTTGAGTTAATTAGATTCTGTGTACAACTGTTAACCACACGTTTCGTATCTCCGACACACACACGAGCTGAGCTGCTGCCTGCACGAGCAAAACTGACTTGCGTTAAATGCAATTAAACAAAAACTACAGGATATGCGAAACTCGCTCGCCGTAGTTTTTTCGACGCCAAAAATTAAAATGGCTACCGCACAAAACTAGTACAATGGTATCGCCAGAAATTAGGTATCGAGTATGGAAAAATGCCGCTGGCCAGTCACAGAAGAACGAACACACAGGGATGTTTTGATTATACAATTGCAACACTGCAATTCCACGCGGTATACATTGGTACAAAATACTGGCAATATGCTGCCAAATTTCAATTCGTACAAACGCCCGCTCAAATTTTTGTGTATATGTATATTCACTGTCTATTTGAGTAAAAACAAAAAACAGCTTTGTTTTTAGATAACATACGTTTCATTTATTATCGTTGAGCTTACAGCACAAGTGTCATAGATAATAATCAATTGGATTCGTTTTGTTTTTTTGGTCAGTTGCATTGATAACCCACTTCGCATTGAAATCAACTTGACCCACTAACACGTTAGCAAAATATTCCTCGGACCGATTCGGCTGCCTTCTGTGGTTACACACGACAATCGTTCGTCTGATCATTCCATAAATAAGTAGTCTAGAGCTCACTCTCAATAAGTTTGCTTGTATTACTACGCTCGCCTCACTGTTCATGGTTTAGTGTGCTGCCAGACTTGTCGCCGGCAGCCTTGCCATATGAACGTGCCACCACGAGTTGGCAGCCCTTAAAACTCCAGCAATATTTTGCATCCGTGCAATGTATTTCGGTGTTTTTACCAATAACAAACTAACGCTAGTTATGTGTGCAAAATGTTAATTGTTTTGGTAGTGATTGCCATACTGAGCCAATGCACAGCCACGTCTACGATACACATGCCAGTGACGACTCAGGACATAATTGCAGGTGACGTGTTCTTTGAAATCATTTCGCCGCAAGATCTGGAATATACCTACCGATTGCGTCCGGCCAAGGACTTTGGCGTGTCCTTCACACAAAAGCTGGAGGGTGTGCCCATGGTGCTGGCCGATCCGCCCGAAGCTTGCCAGAAACTACGCAATGCCCGCGAGATGCAGGGCAGCATTGCGCTCATGGACAGGGGGTGAGTTGGGTGTGGGAGGGTGATCGGCCAAATGGTCGTAATCAAAATTGTCAACCTATTTTTAACCTATCTGCTTTATCTATAAACAGCGAATGCTCGTTTCTTACCAAAACGCTACACGCCGAGGCCGCCGGTGCCGTTGGCGCTATTATCACCGAATACAATTCAAAATCGCCCGAGTTCGAGCACTATATTGAGATGATACACGATAAGACGAATCGGGATGCACAAATACCGGCTGGCTTTCTGCTGGGTAAGAATGGCATCATCATACGCAGCACACTACAACGGCTGAAGCGTGTCCATGCGCTAATAAATATACCTGTGAACTTGACCTTTACCCCGCCATCGAAAATCAATCATCCGCCCTGGCTTGGCTGGTGAGTCCAGAATGAAGACAGCGCACAGGTTCAGGATGCGCCTAACAAAAATACGAAACCAAAGTGCATACTTAGTCAGCGCGCGCTTCACATGAACTTTAAGCGTAGTTCCGTATTATGTTTATGTATATATATATATACATATGTATGCATATATTTATCTAGGCTGCAAACCCTTTAAATTATTAGTATTTCCAAATTTACCCTGTGAACGTTAACGGGGCTATAAAGATTGTATCATATGCATTTAAAAACAATGCTTTATTTTGGAACAACAACATGATTTACCTGTAATACTATTTCTATGTCTATAGAAATTCTAAATAAGATTTGTTACCAACATGTTAAGTACGTACATTAAAATTTTGCCAATTAAAGCTAATTCCTTGCCAAGATTATAAAAAGCAATATAAGCCAAAAGGTTATGATTTGTTATTAAATTAATATAACTATTTTATTATTCACTATAATATGTATTTTAAATTTACAAACATGCACAGCTAAAATGATTGTATTCCATTTCTTCAACATTTACAAATGAATATATTTTCAATATATTTAAATATTATATTTTTGAAATCCTCTTCGAAACAATGGTTTGCAGCCTTCTTAATTATACTTGACTAAGCAAAAAAACAAAAAGAAAAACTGAAACTGAACTGAATTTAAGTAGCTAAATTGTAAACAAAAGCAATCCCCTAACAAAAATAGATCCAAGCGTAATTTGTAAATAAAATTGCTAAGCAAAAGACAGTTGGTAAAGAATTGTAAGTTAAACCAAATACTATGCATAAATCTTTATTAAAGCTATAAGTAACCATATGTAAGTCAACTGCTGCATGTCGAGTGTTCACTGTATCAGAACCTGCCCAGGGCACTCAAATTGAGGCACATGCCCAGTGTAAGCACCACAATGGTCACAACGAGTATGGCAAAGCAGAGATAGTTGGACTGGATGGGCATGCGAAAGAGCTTGGCAGACATGTCCAGCGAGGAGGCGAACAGCAGCGTTGAATTGAGATCCTCGGCGGAGGTATTGTGATAGACAAATGGACGCACTCGTATCTGATGCCCGTTGGCCTGGGCATTCTGGCAGACACGCGTCACGGAGCCGGCCACAAAAAAGGGCAGCAGGCCCAAAAAAAGCCACAACATGACGTTGGCAATGTTCAGTAGGACCAGCTTCAAGGCGCAATAGTGGAAATCGAAATCCTTGAATAGATAAACGAGTCCAGCAAATGCGTACGCTAGATTCATGACAATCAGAAAGCACACGGGTATGGAAACATGCTGGTTGACGCGTTCCAGCAGCTTGCGAAACTCGAGAATCTCACGCATCCAGTCCAGCGAATCGATGGAGTGCATCAGCAGCTTGTGCGACAAGGTCTCCAGATGCACGCGCAGCAAATAGCATTCAATGTAGTAGCTGCTCAGCACAATTATCTCGACCAAATCCTGCAGCAATATGGTGCACAACAGGCAGATGCGCAGGCACAGCTCCCAGTCGCGCAGTGCATCGGCCAGCCAGGCTACCTTTATGATCTGGGCCGGCTGCATGATGACTACGCAGCAGGCGTAGCCAAAGAGCAGCAGCAGCAGTGTCAGCGCCACGCCCAGATATAGCCAGAGCATGCGGCACAAGCGTTTCGGTTTGGCTGAGAGCAGAAAAACACGCTCAATGAGATTCTGGAGCTGCTCGTGCTCGATCACCTTGCACACAAGCACCGCGGAGACAAAGCTCAGCAGGTTCAGGGCACTTGGCACCACATATCCAAACAGCAGCTCACCAATGGTATTGGGCGTGCTGGAGGCGGAGGAGGAGCCGCAAACATCGCTGTTATTGCCATAACCACCGGGTCGTATGTCCCGATAGCTACTGAAGCCGCGATCCCCACTGGAAATGCCGAAAATATTGTTATTATTTTATCATCTGTCGTCCGGGTCGCCCACTCACCGATAGCCACACAGATAGCGCAGCACATAGCCCGCCAGGAGCACACAGAGCACCATCAGAGCCTGGACATAGCTGCAGCAGGCGCGCACATTGCTCATGTCCGTAGAGATGGGATTGAGACCAACCAGTGTCAGTATGGCCACATACGGACGCAGAAACTGCAATGTTGTTATTTGTTTTTATTATTGTCAATTTTTACGGGCATATTAAAAAAAAAATTCAATTATATTAGCAATTAGTTTGCATATATCTCCTGATAAAACCACAAATAACTCATACGATTTTTAACACATCTCCTGATTAAAGCACACGCAATTCACAAGATTTTTATTATTATTATTATTTAAAGATACTTTTTCAGAAGATTTGCATTCTGATTTTTTATTATTTATTTATTTTTAGAAATGTTCCTGGTAAGAAAGCGTTTACAATAGTAAAAAAAAAAATAGTTTTCCTGCGCGATCTTCGATTTAAGTTACAGAAATCACGGGAAGTACATTCACTGTATATTGTTTTTGTTCGCTATGTAATTATTTCCGCTATTCGTTGACTATATCGATTGCATACTGTATTACATGTATGCATATACATTTATGTGTATATCCGTTTTTTTTTTTTTTTTTGCTGTATTCGCGTAACGTACCTTGCGTTTGCAATAGTTGAGGATCGCCGATGTCGGCTCATGCTCGCCCGGCTGCTGCAGTTCATCGTGGGTGGCACCGTTCAAGCGATTGATGAAACAAAAAGAGCTATCCGCATTATTACGATACATGATAATCGCAGACAAAGAGGTTTACATGCAACGATCACAATAACAATAACAACAACTACAACAACAACAACAACAACGAGAAGAACGGCGACAACAACAATAAGACAGGCGCAAGCACACACACATAACGACGCGACGGCTCTTGCTGCTGACAGTGACAATGACTGGAACTGGAGCGAGTGGAAAGCGATCGTCGGTGCTGGCAGCACAGCAAACACTGAACGCGATAGCGAGAGCTTCAATGCCAGTGCGAGCGAGAGCGAGTGGGAAAAACTTACGGCGAGCTCATGAAGCCAGGATGATGCGGCGGATGTGGCGCGGCTGCATCGCAGCAGCGATGGCGACTCACTGAGCTGAGCTGTGGCTGCTGCTGCTGCTGTTGCTGCTGTTGTTGTCGCTGTCGCCGTTGTTGTCGCCGTCGTCGTCGCCGTCGCTTTCATCAATTGCAGCTATAACGGTAAATTGAATAAATTGAAACTTGAGTCGCGCACTGCGAGCCGCATGCGAGCGCCAGAGAAGCCGAGGCCGACAGCGATCTCAATGCCGAAGCTTTCCTGCTGTCACGTTTAAGCTCTCTTCGAGCTTTGCTCGCCGCTGCGTGCTCAACGTGTGCTCTCTCCCGAGGGCCCCTTATCAATGGAATATATCTCGGTAACAGAACGCGACGCCTTCTGAGCGCTGCTGTGCACCTGTTACAGTTTAGATAGGAATCAGCGTGTTATCGTGACCGCTATCTATCCAAATTAAACGCCACGACATTTGCACATATGTAAATACATACACACACACGCATTTCGTTGTGTGCGCGCGTGTATGTGTGTGTGTGTTTGCATATAGAATTGTTTTTATGTGCTTTATGTTTTTCTTTGTTACGTTCTCGCGCGATCCGTTTATTATGCTTGATTCGTAGTGAATCAACACGGAATTTGTTTATGTTATCTATATGACTGCTGCCCGACGCGTATTGTAATACCCAACTGCCGGACTGCAGCCGTTCCCAGCAGCCGCATACCCAGTCGGTCGGTACGTGTGGAGCTCTCCGATAACCCAGAGGATCATGCATTGTTCGATGCCCTACACTTGGAAGGGGCGGCTATATGAAGTGTGTGGAAGTGAAATGAGCAAAATATTTAAATGATACTAATAATAATAACAACAAAAAAAAAAAATAATGAGAGAATATGTAATTTACACATATGCTGAATTACAACTTTCTTCTATATAGGTATTTTAATTGATCCGAATGGATATACCATTAAATTCATGTTGTTTTTATTTACATTATTTGCGTATCTAAACTTTTTAATAGCACTCGAAATATTCTAGGTTTTTGGTACCACATTATAGATATTGGAGTATGTCAAAATAGTTTTACATGGTTTTGAAATAATCTATGACATCGACTTTTTTCATTGTCTACCATAAAAGCGCGCTATAGAGTTTTACAAATATATGCAATTTCAAGTGTAGCGCCTAGTTAGGTCGCCATAGCCGAATTCCACTCAATACCGAATCTGCGTCTTTCGCTGCGGCTATCTTAAATGAAATGCGAATAACAAAAACAAAGCTAGAGTAAGCAAAATACAAAACCAATTTAAAAAGTGACACTCAAATTTGTTTCTCTCGCCGCTGAGCCGCCCTTCGGACGATCAATGGGGATCTCGGCTGTTGCTATACCCTGAGTCCACTTAAAATGCTAAATATGGGTACAACGATTTTGTGCGAATCTGTGTAACAGGCAGGAGAAGGTATCTTCGAATCGATAAAGTATACATGTTCTTGACAACATCATAAAGATCGGACTTCGATATAAGTGAAGACTAGCCAGCTATATACATATGTATATAGGTATGTATGTATCTGAGTACAGAAGAAAGCGAACATGTTTTTTATCTGGCTTAAGGATATCTACTAGTCGGGCACTCCCGATTAAGTCATTCTTACTGTTGCTGCTGTTGCAGCTGCTGCTGCCGCTACCTCCCCCCGCAGTGCTCCGCCCGCTGCGGTTGAGTGCTATGCTCGTGCACGCAAGGCAATAAAGTATCGAAATTTACGTTGAAAAGTAATTAAATGAAATTAAAGACAAGTCGCAAGTTGTTTAAACTTTTTGTGACGTCGCCTCGACTTGAATTGTTCTCGCTCAACGTCGATTTGCATGATGGGCAGCCGCAGTCGATGCCGCAGTTGACGTTGACATTTTTGTTGGAGCCGGCAATTTCCACCCGCAGCCATCAGGCATTTGGAGCAGCACCAGCAGCAGCTGGAACGGGCACTGCGGCTGGCAGGCAGGAGATGTGCTGGTCAATGCTGTCATTGCCTGAACTCTGGTCACTCATGTAAATTAGCTGCGTTGTCAAATAATGCTGATTTGTTGTTGGTTCGTTGGCAGACTAACAAAAGCAAAGCTACCCATGCCCCTCATACCATAAAGAACCCCCCCCCTACATACTTTTCTGTTCCTATGCGCTGCCAAATTTGACAGACCGAACTGTCCAATGGCCATCACTTGACGCATATCTGGAACCATGACAGAGCCGGACAGTGTTCGACGTGCAGCTTTTTGTTTAAAAATCAAATCAAATATTACGAGAAAATTTCAATGCGGTTAAATGCATAGGAAATTTTATGCCCTCTCTCTCTCGCTCTCCCTCTCTCTCTCTCTCTCTTTTGAGGTCCAGCCGCAACCGCAAAAACGCAAATGTTGACTCGACACTCGACGGGGCCTCAAACTGGGGTTGTTCTCGTTTACATAAATCCTAAACGATTCTTTAATTTCACGGCTTCAGTGCGATTATTTCATTTAACATTTAATGTTTTTAATTAATGTAAGTTTTTAACAAATATTCCTTGAATTACCCGAAACATTTGTGATTGTTTCATCGATTATTCTCTGCTTGTTTCATAGCAACAAATGACATGCTTATGTTTTAAAATGAAAAATCATTCGTGATTATCTGTTCCTGATACCAAAATATTTGCGAATAAACCATTTTATGAGATACAGATAAAATAGTCACTGTAATGCTTCGATCTTAATTGTTTCATCTCTTTCTAAATTCTCGGGCGTTTTGCTGTTGAAACTGAAAACGAGAACTTCTGAAACTTGGTTCAAAATGATGTCAATTTTTGTCAATAGCTGCAATTGCCCTATTAAACGGAAACATACGGGTCTGTTTATCTATACATTCGTTGCTGCCCAGCCGTGTGGCATGTATTGAGCTGCGTCTTAAAGGGTTTTAAATTTGGCGACACGCCTCTGTGCACACAGATGCTTGCCGCACGCCTCAAAAAAGATCAGATTGTGCGACGTGTCAAGTGTCCAAAATTCAATTAGACTTCATTAGCATTAGCAGCCGGTGTCATATGGTCATTGTTGTTGTTGTTCCTGCTGCTGCTGCTGCTGCTGGTGCTGGTGCTGTCTGGGCCCACCTTGTGGCTGTGGCGTGCACAGATTTAACCGTTTGCAGATTAGCATAAATGAGATCATTAAAATGCGCTTACGTTTGTGTGGGCGGGCGGGTTTGAGTGGTTCGGTGGTTCGTATGCAAGGTGCGACTTCCTTTTGCACGTAGCAGACGCAGCCTGCAAATTGCCTGACTGTAAGTGTCACTGCTGTCGGGGTTCGTGTCTTGGCTACGCTCCTACACCCGCTCACACACATACAAACACAAGCACACATGAAATTTGCATAATTATTGTTGCCAGCTTTGACATTAATGTTTAATATTGCAACTAGTTTTCGGGCATCTTATTGCTACACTTTTTTACCATGGCTAAATTGGGCATTACATTTTGTGTAACGAGTCCGTAAACAAGCAGCCACTCAAGCTGTTTACACTGTCGCACAAATTTCGGCAAAGACGGTTACATATTGTGTTGGCGAGGGTAACTAAATGCCGTCTGAGTATATACTAAGGTAAAAGCTTGTAGTTCCCAGATGCACTGAAAATAGAATTTTGCTTTCATGCTTTGCTGTTAAGCGTTGCTGCTGCTTTAAAATTCGCAATGTGTTTAAGCTACTAGTGACTGATAATGATTAACATTATCTAAATAATAACTCACTGCTGAAATTTCTAATGAGTTTAGGTTTGATAAGGCGTGGCTTAAGTCGATGCAAAATATATAAGGCAGAGCATTAGCAAGTACTTGAATAGGTAGGATATCTACCTGCGCCCTATTTCCCTTTCTAGTAATATTGCGAGTTGCCTTGCAATAAGGATTATATTTAAGCTGAACAACCAAACATATTTTGGTTAAAACTTAAATATTGCATAAGAGAAAAACAAATAAACATCTAAAACAGTGCAGCAAAAACATTATGTACAGAAACGAAATACAATTTTACGTGCAATATTTTTATTATACAGAAAAAAAAAAGCAAACAATATTAAATTAATGCGCACGGCAATTTATCAAAACTTATATTACACAATAGACTAAAAAATGCAACTTAAAGCAAGCAAATAAAATATTTCAATTTAATTGACACTTAAGGAAAAAAAACAACGTTTTTCGAGAGGCGTTTTAAATAATGCTGATTTAGCGACTTGCTCCAAATTGTTGTTGTTGTTGAAATGGATGCAGCTAGACGTATTAAATATATACATACGACGTTGGTAAAATATCGAGTCTGGTTAATTGGCCTGTCAAAAACCTGTTGCTATATGAAGGTTATTTTTTGTAGCGTAGCGTAGTTGTTGTTGTGGCCAGTTTTCTATGGGGCATATGTAAGCCCGTATGTAGATGTGTGCCACAAACATGTGTGTGTGTGTGTGGCGCAAACCCTTTGCAGCCGCCAAACGAGCTAATTTTGATGATATCCACAGTCGAGCAGACAGTCGGTGAGTTTTGGTCCAATTTTGACAGGAGATACGTTGTGGTGGCAGCTGCAGGTGCTGCTGCTGCTGCTGCTGGTGGTGCTCTTGTGCCCTGTGGGTGAAGGTTTGACTGTGTGCTGAGCTGGACTAAAAGCCTGTCGCAGCCTGCAAATTGAATCAGCCGGTGTGTATGTGTGTGTGTGTGTGTGTGTGTGTGTGTGTATGAGTGTGTGCCTAGAGGGCGACGTGCGCGCTCTCATGAAATGTGACCGCAATTGCGGTTCGTTAGCTGCATTTCAGCTAGTCCACATGGTCCACATGGCAATGGACTACGACCAGGCCCGCTGTTGCACACACATACGAAGGCACATTCTATGGGCAGGTGGAAAACGTGCACAGGGGCCGCCGAATATAAACCAAAATGGGCGTGTGCCCAGTTACAATGCAAAAGCATTGTGCTTAAGTGGTCAACTGACCAAAAGCACTTTGACCATGCGGTGCACGCGGCCGCTGCGCTCAGTTAGCCCTTTAAATTGTCGCCACCCGGTTTTATTATTTATGACAAAATGCCGAGTATCAAAATGGCAATGCCAAGCATTTCGCTTGGCACTTAGCGGCAATTAGTAGCCGCTGCAGATACACAAGCACACCCTCCACACGCACACCTGTTGTCGCTGCCTGAAATCACGGCGTGTGTCGTCGTCTGAGATTTGCGCGCCCGACGAGCGGCATCAAATGTGGCAACCGGAGTCAACGCTGCCAACTTGAAGGTAATTACGACAAAGACGCACATCCTAGGCACATCCGGTTAGGCACGCACAAAAGCACAAAAACTTGTAGCTGCCAGCTACCTGCCGCCGCCCACAGTGCCTGCTCCCATCCCCTGCCCCTGCTGCAACAACTCGACAACCAACTTCGTGCTGGTTTGACTTTTCAACGCTCGACAAAACGTGACAAGCATAGCGAATCAGCGGCCAGTTTAAAGGCTCGCAGCGTCAGGATATGTCGCCAGGATATATGTGCGAGTCCGGGCCTTAACGGCCTGACCTACTCATGAGTGCCAAATGAGTTGTTAGATCAGAACTACGAACGGCTCTCCAGAGAAGTTTATTCAAGTCAAGGCGCAGGCGGCGGCTCATCCGCAGACTGTTGCTTATTGCCCTTGGTTGGGTGTGTGTCTGTCGGTGTGTGTGTGCCTGGCTTTTGTTGGCTAACTAAATGTTGTTAGGCAAAGTAAACGCCATTGTAGACATTGGCAAGCGACCGACAGGGCCACAATCTGCTGCCACGGGCGTAGCTGGGCGGGATTCAGCATCGACTCGACTAAATGGCGGCTAAACTTTTTAAAACTAATGATGCTGCTGCTCGCAATTACTTGAAATTGTGAACGTTTTATTGTTGTTATTATATATTATTATTCTCAACTTATATCGGACCTTCCGATTTCCAGTTACATTCTGCCCCTCAATAATTCCTGTATGTGACGCCCCTGCGTTCCGCTTGGACCTATCCACATGGAGCTTATTACCGTGCCTGAAACACAACGCCGTCTCCCTTGAAGTCGTCATCCTGGCATGGGTGCAGCTTTATTAGAAATTTCCTTTTCTGCCGCTATCTTTTTTCTATTTACCTCAGCCAGGATACAGAAGCCGACGTCTAAGACGCTCCGCTCCGCTGCAGCACGGCCGCACTGCAGCTGCGGCACACACACACACACACACACACACACACACACACACAGCCGTTCAGGAAATGCCCAACTGGAGGTATTATTTCGTGGCATGTCCTGATATCCTGGCGCTCTGGCTGCCTTCAAGTTGTTGACTCAACCTGCTCATTAATTTTTTACGCTTAATGTGTTTTTCTAATGATTTTTAAATTGCTTCTCAGATTTCAATTTTTTGGTTTTCAGCATTGTGCAATATTTGGTCGTCTGGCCTCCTTTACTATCTCCAGCGAGCGGCTCCTTATTTGTGTGCGGCCCTCCTTGGAATAAACCAAATTCGAGCCAAGTGGAAGTCAAAGTTAAAAAGCGGCTCATTAGCGACTCATGTTTGTATCTGCGTGTCTGTGTGTGTGTGTGTGTGTGTGTGTATTTTTCGGGGTGTCTGGTTGTATCCATATTAATTTACAGTTGATTCAACAACAGAAAGGACGCAAAAAATGTCGAATGCAATAATTAAAATGCAATAACAACAACAAGCAGCTGGCTTCACGAGCAACAACAATCTGCTAGACCAGTATTCAGTTCTTACCGACCCTTGTACTTGCTTCGAATGCCTGGGCCAACAGGCTGTTGGGGTATATTCAACAAATTTTATTTAGCCAAGCGTGACTTGACTAAAAATAAGTAATAATTATTTTAAATTTAAGTAATCTAATATATGAATTTTCAATAGAAACTTAAGATCAACTAGCAATTTAGTATTGATTAACACTTTTTAATATGCATTATTGATTTTAATAAAATTTTTATATAGTAAGGTTGGATTTCTATATATTTTTCTTATATCGAAGAATTACAAGTAAATAATAATGCTCGTACTCTTTGTTAACCGTAAGTTTCCTATTTTTGAATGGCATTTTCATCAAGCAGGCATAAGCATTATTATTAAAATATTATATAAACAGATTTTTACTAATTTAACCCCTAAAAGTATGCAATAAGTGCGCGCATATCATAGTCCGACATGCTTTCAACTTGCACTTATAAACTGCTTACTTATCCAGCTCTGTTAGCATCCAATTGTTTGCCACACACACAAACACACACACACACAGGCGCACACGCACACACAGCCGCACGCACACGCATGGCATCGCATCACGCATACGACGCGTTGTGCACTTTGCCACTTTGGGCGCTGCTGCAACATTTTGTCTGACTGACAAATTTAATTACTGCTGGCTTCATGTCTGTCTGCTGTGTGTGAGCTACTGTGTGTGTGTTGGGGAACTGTTGTTTGCGTCGTTACTGATATGGCAACAGGACCAGGGCCAGGGTCTGGGTCAGGGCGAGGGCGAGAAGCTGGACCGGGACCAGGCGCAGATTGAGGACCCGGACTGAAGTCACTTCATTTGATGCGTCAATCAGCACAATCAAAAACTGCAGCCCATGAAAATCAATTAAAAAGCCGTTGACACACTGCCCAGGCCCTGGCCAATGGTGCGCTCATCGGATTGTGTGTCCCTGGTGGTGTTGTCCTGGGCTGATGCTGTCAACAGCGCTCTGAACGTTTTGCAATTGACGCTGCCTGGATTAACATTTATATTTCAGCAGGCGCAGGACCTGTACACAATACTTTTTTTGGTTTCCTTTTTGTTTTTGGTTTGTTTTTTTTTTGTTGGTTTGATATTCCTCCGGGGCGTTGTAATTCATTTGAAATGCAAATGCCTTTGTAGCGGATATAGCAACAACACACTTGCAAAACAAATCAAAGGCGTCATTCAGCCGGCAACATGATGCGGCATTTTCGAGCTGGCGAATTGGAGTTGGAGTTGCAGTCGCTGGTGACGTCAGCGTATTGCATAGTTAATTGCTGGCCCCGCTGAGTTGCAGGAAAAAAAAGAAGAAAAATACAACAAAAAAAAAAAATAAATAAACAAGAAACGGAGGCAGCACCACTTAATAAATGAAATGTCATTGAGGCGTGCGGCAATCAACAAAACAAAAATCCAAACGGATTTAACACCAAGCGGCACAAATGACGCATGAGTAGGCGCTGAAATTGTGGGTGGTGAAAAAGCAACTGTAAATGAACGCATACACCCACCAGCTTACACACTGACAAACTGACTGACTGACTGACTGGCTGATTGACTGACTGACTGACTGACTGCTTGACTCGCCAGGCACGGCTAACTGACAGCGTCCGAGTGAGCGCTGAGCGTCGCTTTATCTGCTTTTGAGGCGCACACTCACACACTCGGAGACACACACACACTCGCACACACGCACACCACTTGTCATGCACACCCGCTGCCCTGCAAAGCGTTAAGCTTGTCTGGACGCGACTTTTGTTTACCCTCAACCCATTTAAGCTTTAGACGTGCTTTTAACATTTTTCCTCCACTCGCGAGCCTATTTTTCAATTAACTTAACAAAATGTTAATAAATTTAAGCTTGAAATTAATTAGTTTGATCTTGAGTATAAACATATAAAAGTATATATGTAAAATAATATATATTAAATAAAGCTATATAATATACAATTGAATATATTTAAGAATATTATTCCTTTGCACATTTTGTGTTATTTTTTACTTTACACTCTAGCTAAGAGCGGCTCGCCTTCATACAGTTTGGTCCTCTTCTAAATATATATACATACATATATACAAAAAATGATCAGTTATCTTAATGAATTGTTGACCTGAAAATGTTTAGCTTAAAACTCCATTTGCACTCTCTGTTACAAGCTAAATGCTCCAAAGTGTGTACCCCATGTATCCTGGTCGGATAACACATTCGGCACGCACACAAAAACAGGACATGAGCAACTGCAGCTGCAAGTGGCCCTCCTTCAGTTACTGTTACTGCTACTGCCACTGCGACTTGCCGGCAGCAGTGGCTGTGGGATCGGGATTGGGTAGTGTTGGACGCGGCGTCATTGTTGTTCTTGTTGCTGCTGCTGCTGCTGCTGCGTCAGCTGCAACTGATGACATTGTCAGACAGCCAGGCGCACCCCGGGCTATGAAGGGACTAACAAGCCTGACAGTCACTCAGCGTCAGTCAGGCTCTGGGCCGGCTGCCCAGCTGCCCAGGCTGGGACGTTGTGCAAATTAAAAGTTTGGCCCACACTTGACACGTGCTTAGAAGTTGCAACGCCCCCGCTTCCAGTCCCTAGCCGCAACGCAGCAATGTCCAGCCACCAAACGGTTGGTCGTTTTATGTTTTTTTTTCTTTTCTTTTCTTTTTTGGACACAGCATGTTTGTGGCTTGTGGCAGCGTTTTGTGTTTCCCACTTTCCATCTGTCGGGGCGGGCCTTAGGAGCTGCCAGATGAAATTTATGAGACCCAGCCAAAACGTCAACTTGCGTGCAGCTGCATAAACTTGTTGCATATGTGGATGCGTCGCAGCGCGGCTAAGGTAGACACTGCTGACAAAGCGACTGCCTAAAATTTATGCACTCGCCGCTAAGTGGCCTCAGCAAGGTACAGAAGACTGTATAAAGTGGCTAAGATTATGGCTGCAAGCCTAACAATCGCCTTCGGTGGTTCCAATGTCTTGCCCTAAGGTTCGTTTCGTTTCGGGCTTAAGTTTATGTAATTTAAAGGAATTTTTTAAAATTTTAAATGTAGATATAAGTAAAAGGTGCTCTGATCGGGAGTGCACGATTTGGGATTACCCTGGACCATATCTGGTAGCAGTAGCTAAATAGAATTTGTAATTCAGGCGTAAAGTAAAATAGGCAAATTAGTGTAACTATATTTCAATTTGATTGTTTTATTAAAGTTGAAAAAACTCAATTAACCCCAACAGCTTTATTATTAGTTCTCTCTTGCTGTTTTCCCTTTCAATGCCAATATCTTCTCTTGCTTGGGTTGCATAGCTTTCGGATTGCTTTCGTGAGTAGGATTCAATTTCTTGATGCTCCTTGCTATCTCGCGATTTGGCAAGTCGAGGTTTTGTAGTGCTGGGCTTTGGATCGCGTGGTGTGCTCTACATAACCCCAACAGGGATCAATGTTCTTCCCATGTTGGTTCACTTAGTTCGTAAGTATATAACAGCATAATTAAAAAAATATAATAACTTGAACAAGCAAAGCAAATATTTTTTATAACATATAATCGAAAAATAAAACCTGAACACTGTGAGACATGAATGAATAGATCATTTCTGGAACTAGTTCGTAAGGCAACTCACTTTAATATTGCTCAGTCAAGTCAATATATTCTAAGGGATCGCGTGAATTGGATACGAAAATCACACCCTCATCATTTTCTTCATCCGAACCACTGGCTTTAGATGAATCCATTTCCAAGCTTCCCAGACTAACTTTAATTTTTTTATTTGCTTGCATGGAAATGGGATCTAAGCTGTTTTTGCGTTTGCGAATCCTTTCTTTAACTGGACTGAGTGGAACAACACGACTTCTTAGTTTCATATAGCTCGGTGTATCCATTTTGAAATATGTTCTCAGTCGTTTTATTTTGTTGTATTATGATATGACTGGTGTTTCGATTTGGATCTGACTGTTGTTGTAAATCGAAAACAACGTAACGGATATCTAGATCTCTCTAGAGAGAAGTTAAGGGACAAACAAAAATTTAAAGGTTTAAAGGAACCATAAGTGGGTTTTGGTGAAATTAATGGGAGACTCATGACTCGAGCTCCATACTTTGAGACAGGAGGTTGAAGGAAACTTGAGCCAGATTCTTCTTATTTAAACTTTCAAAAATTTGTAACAGGATTCTTTTGAATATTTTACTTTAATCGTAAGCAATTTTTATTATTATTAAAATATTTTATTCTTTATTAATATTCATCAAATAATAGAACAATTTAAACATAATTTCAAGTGTAAGCACGCTTCCGCAATACCCTTAATAGTTCCAGATCCTTCACAAGATAATCCAAATAGCTGTAAAAGTTGAAGGTCATGCTATTTAGAGCGCGCGTCGTTGACTGCGAGATCATGTCAAGGGTCAGGCATGGCTCCTGTTGCTGCCTGAGCAGCAGCTCGCGTACTAAACCGATCTGCCTATCCAGGTCAACAAGCGACTGAAAGATCGCCTCCAGATCCATATGCAATGAGCCGTGCTTATCCTCCTCTAGCGAGCGCACACAAATGGCTACGAGCCCGGGTATTAGCCAGACAAGTGGTCGGCCAAGGCACAGCTCGTGCTCCAGTTGCCTCGGTTCAATTGGCCGCCTAGCCTGAAAGGGCAGTCGGCATTGGCAATAGCAAGTAAGCTTTTCCTTTAGCTGGCAGCTCTGCAGTTTGTTGCGCAGGTGGCACAGCAGGCGCATCGGACTGATCAGCAAGGATTTATAGAGCGGCTGGCAGGGTGGCTGCCGGTCGCCACAGCGGCGACTCCAATATCTTGAGGGTTTTGGCTTGGCCGCCAGCGGACGCAAGCCCGGATAGGCAGACTTAACCGCTTGCTGACATTGTGGTTTCGGGATTTCCAGGCAGTTTTTGAGTTGTAATGTGAACAGCGTAATTCTGCCCAGCAGCACATCACGCAGCGCCTGCCAGTTTTTGGGCAGTCGGCGTAAATTGCCCTGCAGCTGAAATAGTTCGCATTGTTCGCCGCTCGAGCTGGACACGAGCATATAGAAGTCTCTGGCTGCCTGCATCTGAAAGCCATACAGCTGGCAGTCGAGGCTGAGCGCCATGACCAGCGGCAGTCGCTGATCCTGCTTCTGCTGCACAGTTAGCGGCAGCTCGCAATGCATCACCATGCCGAAGACACGTTTGATGGCATACAGCTTGAGGGTGATCAGCATGGTCAGGCAGTTGGACAGGCGAAATAGCTGCCAGCTGGCTTCCCTGTCTCCGTTCATGTTTGGCCAGTAGATGGCGGCAAAGATGATCGTGTAGAGCATAATTCGTGGCAGTGTTGAGCGAAACTCGAAGTGTTGCCAGCTCAGCCATTCCGTTGTGGCATGGTTCATGCGCACTATGGGCAGCGGCCACACCTCGCTGTTGAATTTGGAATGCTCGCTCAGGAAGTAGGCGAGGCCACAGAAGGCGCCGTTCATCAGCAGAAAATGGCCTGTGTAGCTCACATCCACATCGACGTTCAGCTCATCCATATATTTCAAATACAGCCAGCAGCTGCAGTAGCCCAAGCTAATCAGCACGGTCAGCAGACAGAGCTTAATTGGCAGCTCCTGTCTCATGCGCACCTGCCGCGAACTGTGGCAAGCCGGCAGACGTTCGTGTATGCGGCATAGCAGCAGCCCATAGATGGCCACATGGACGCCCAGCAGCTGCATTCGAGCCATGGTATAGTACGAAAATACAATCCAGTCAAACAATTCGGACAGGCATTCAATTGGATGGGCGATATCGAAACGCTGGTAAAGCAAGAAAATCGCCAGCAGTTGGTACTCGGTCAGGTAACACAGCCAGGTGGCAAAGAGGTAACGATTCAACAGCAGCCTGCCAATCATTGAATTTGGCATATTCAGCTGGTACGGCAGGCCAAACGGCATGCTTATTCTTAGCTTTGGAAAACAAGACATTGAGAATTATTTAAATATTTTGGCTCGTTTGAATGTGTGCATATCTATGCTTGGAATACAAACTGTATAATTCTAGGCCTCCTCAGATCAAAATATCGAAATTTGTGCAAATTTCTTACTTTGAAAATGAGCAGAGTGATTCTTGTTGTTGAGTTTCTTAGGCAGCATTGTTGGAAACGCGGCATTGCGAATCTATATTCAGCTAAACCGCTTCAAATGCGGTTCGAACCATGCATTGAAAATACTAAATCACAACATTTTTATTATCACGTGATCATTTTTTTAACAGTTGGTCAGATCTTTAATTTCTGTTTTTAACCATTTTTTATAATATGCAACATTCGTGTACACGCCTGGAAATCCTTTTGCGGCACATCCTTTTCCCCAAGATACGACACCGACAAGTTTCTTTCTGGAGACCAATGGTCCACCAGAATCACCCTGGCACGCATCGTGGGAATTTAAGGCGGCACAAAGCATTTGCCTGGTGATACGATAACCATACCGTCCATAGTTGGTTTTTTGGCATTTTTTGTAATCCATTAAACGAAGGTTCACTGCTTGCAGGATCTCTGGACGCTTTGTTGATTTCGCTTTGAGGAGACCCCAACCTGAAACAGAGGCTGTAGCTCCATCACGTGGAACTGCCGAAGTTAACGTAATCGGCTGCGCAAGGGGTCCAAATATAAGTGGACTTGCCAATCGCATGATTGCAATGTCATTAATATATTTCTTCGGTAGATATTCGTTATGAGACTTTATTTTCGCTACCTTCACAACCTGGCCACCCTTTTTCCAAAACCTAGATCCAGCTCGTATACTCAACGTTTTAACATCCATGTTGATCAAACAATGCGCAGCAGTTATGATTATTTTTCTGCTCAAAATTGAGCCACCACAAAAGTGAAATCCATATTTCTGTATCGATACCTGCCAAGGTGCTTCCCGTATGTCAATGGGGTGTCCATTCACAATGCGATACGCGTCTAAGACAGTCATCGTCGAGAATAACAGAAGAAGCACAAATAAGTAGCTAATCCTCATTTTGTGATTTCGATTTTTCTGGTCAATACGTCTAGTCTCAGACTTAAGAGCTTGACTCTTTTTGTGACACTCTCGTATTGTTTAGGATGCCATTAAAAATGTGAAACATCTTTAGTTACGGCCATGTAAGGGTATTTTAACTGTAACTGTAGCGTTAAGAGCCATTTGTAACACACTAATTATTTTTCAAAAAGAACAGGTAAAAGTACCCTAGTCGGGAGTGCCTGTATCAGTCCCGTGATATGCATAAGTTCCGTCAGTTTTGTGTATTGAATTTGCAATTAATGTTAGTTGCTTGAGTCTTGGTTGTCACTTTGTATTTATCTCTATTTTTCTGTCCAGGTGTGTTTTCCTAAATTTATTGCATCCATTCCCCTAAATTGGCATTTTTTCAATGTTGTCCTGCTTAAATAGGTCAAGAGTCTTCCTAGTCTCGCGCAATGTCACATTCTCAGTGTGCCCCAGGACTGTTCGATTCTATCTGATCCGATCTGTTTCCACAATGTCTTCTATCTTGACCGCAGCCAACGTATTTCCCAGACTTAAGCTTTACTGATTCTTTTTAGTTGTTATTTAATTGAGCTCGAGTGAATTATCTCGATTGGTCTCCACTTTGTGACTGAATGAATGAATGAATCTTGGAAACTAAATAAGATCGAGAGCCAATTTACGCCTCCATTTAAATGCTGTTGTATTTTGGGAATAATCTATAGAACAATCAACTCCTCTATCCCATGAGTATTACTTGCGTCCATTTTGTTATGCCCGATTGCTGGAGTGTCAACCGAATGCCGAGCTTGGGGAGCCGAACGATCGGAGAGCCGAGATCTGCATACATATGCATGTATTGTGTGGATGTGCGCAGAAGTCGTTTGACGCGAGCCACGCATACAAGTATTTCAACAAATCGCTCAAGTTTTTATTATTATACTTTTAACAACTGACTGCTGCATTATCGTTATCCTTAATATCAAGTTTTGGAATTTCGGAGTTTAACCACCTGCTATAATATGCAACATTCGTGTACACGCCTGGAAATCCTTTTGAGGCACATCCTTTTCCCCAAGATACAATACCAACAAGTTGCTTTCTGGAGACCAATGGTCCACCCGAATCACCCTGGCATGCGTCGTGGGAATTTAAGGCGGCACAAATCATTTGCCTGCTGATATAATAACCATTCTTTCCATAGTTGGTCCTTTGGCATCTTTTATAATTCATTATACGAAGATTCACCTCTTGCAGGATCGACGGACGCTTTCTTGATTTAGCCTTGAGGAGACCCCAACCTGTAACAAAGGCTTTAGCACCATCACGTGGTACGCTCGAGGTAAAACTAATCATCTGTGCGTTGTATCCAAGTTTTATAGGTTTGGCCAAACGCATCAATGCAATGTCATGAAGATGTTTTCTGGCATAATAGGCATTATGAATCTTTATTTCCGCTACCTTCACAACCTGGCCTCCATTTTTCCAATACTTAGATCCAGCTCGTATACTTAAAATTCTTATTTGCTTGTTCCTCAAACAATGCGCAGCAGTTATTATTATTTTACTGCTCAAAATTGAGCCACCACAAAAGTGAAACCCATTTTTCTGTATCGATACCTGCCAAGGTGCTTCCCGTATGTCAATGGGGTATCCATTCACAATGCGATTCGCGTCTAAGACAGTCATCGTGGAAAATAACAGAAGTAGCACGTAAAAGTATCTGATCCTCATTTTGTTATTTCTATTTTGACACTTTGTGCTTTGAGCTTATTTAAACTTTATTGCTGGTAAGTTTCGTAGATTTGCAAATCTCTCTTCCGGCGCACTCGGAAGCATTAATCTTGTTTAAGATCCCATTAAAAATGTGAAACATCTTTAGATACGCCCACGATAAGGGAATTTTAGATGTAATCTAGCGTTAAGAGTAACTTGTTACATACGAGGGCATACTTTTATTATTTTTCAAGAAAAAAACAAGGCCGCACTAGTGGTGACTATGGGATACCCTAAACCTAGTTCTAGCAACATCAAATTGCCTTTGCAATAATAAACAAGTAAGAGGTTCTAGTCGGGAGCTCCCGACTAGGGGATACCCTGAACCCTCTTCTTCCAACATCGGCCCACTTGGGCAACATAAAGACGTGCCTATACCATTTAGATATACCCTCCAAAAAGTAGTATTTTATAGACAAAATTAGAAACATCGTGATGTAAGGTTTTAGCTATTTTATTTCATGATTTAATTATTTTCTTTAATTTTCATTTGCATATTGAAATTTACTCCCGTCTTTTCATGTACTTAAATATCCACTCTCGGTAGAGAGCAACATCGGTATAAACTCCTGGATGTCCTTTTCTTGCACATCCAATGCCCCAAGAAACAATACCCACAAGTTGATTGTCAACAACCAACGGTCCACCAGAATCGCCTTGACATGCATCGCTAGCACTGCTTGTAGCACAGATCATGCCCTTAGCAACTTTATTACCAAGGACAGCATATTTGGACATTTGACAGGTCGCGCGATCGATTATACGCAGCGAAGCCATTTGCAAGTCTCTTGAACCGACAGATGCATTCTCTTTTTGAAGACCCCAGCCTGAAACAGAGGCTGCGGCTCCGCTCTCAGGCGTTTCTTTTGCAAGTCGAATTCTATACGAATTCCGGCTGTACTTAAGTCTCTTGTCTAGTCGCACGAGTGCGATATCATTCTTGGTGGGATTGGTGCCATAATTCGGATGCCTTTTGACTTGCGCCACATTTATTACCTGTCCACCACGATTCCAGTACTTGGATCCTGTTCGCACTTGCAGTAGAATTGCAGGGATGTAGAACACACAATGCGCAGCAGTTATGATTGTTTTAGAGCTTATAATGCTGCCACCGCAAATGTGATGTCCCAATGCTTGTATCGAAACCTGCCAGGGTGCATCGCGTATAGGAATGGGTATTCCATTGACAATCCGATTGTTACTGCGTGAAATGTGGCTCGCGCCCAGGACTGTCGTCGTGGAGAGCAGCAGGAGATGAAGTAAAGCCCATCTAATCGGCATTGTGTATTTTAAATACTAATTGCCTTTTACATCCAGTTGGAAGGATGACTTTCAAAGACCTATGCTAAACTGCAAACAAATATTTTTAAAATATTTAAATTGGTTCATTTGCTATGGTAAGGTGAGTTTGAACGAATGCGTTAAGTATTTGTAAATCATCTTATATATGCTTAGTTTATATAATACTAGTTTTATATGTTCGCTTGTCGAACTCATCGAACACATCTTGTTACTCTTTGATTTCGTAAATATCTCCAAGCCTGTATCTAGCACAATCTATGAAAATACTGGGATATATTTGTTCGAAGAAAGTTTTCGACGTCGCCAGGGTCATATAAATAATGTTAAAAATGAAAATATTTGACTAAAACAAGTAAGAGTGTTCCCCACTAAGAGATAACCTGACCTTTAATCAACCATCATCAAATTAAACACCATTCGCTTTCCTGGAGTTAAACTCGAAACTCGCTTTAACCAGCCAGATCCACAGTTGCCTCCTAGTTCACAGCCATACAAGGAATTTGTCTTTCATAAAAAAACTGAACTAAAATAGCATTTTCACACGTTTTCTTTAGACTGTGCTTCTGTGACTGATCTTGATGATATTTTCAGTAGTAGTTCTTATTATTTTATAAAACATTCGTATTTGCTTAAAAAGACAATAGCATTACAATTATGGCTTAAATTGGATATTAGTTATCAATGCCTTACTAATGTCGTGATTACAAATATTATATTTAAACTCTTAATTATTTTTATAAATGTCCATTTGCTCGTCAATTTTTAAGAAATTCAACTTCCTAAGATATTTATGTTTTTTAGTACTCAGTCACGGTAGTAAGTAATGTCGGTATAAGCTCCTGGAAATCCGCGTTTTGCACATCCCAGGCCCCAAGAAACAATACCTACAAGTTTTTCATTCGCAACCAACGGTCCACCAGAATCTTTTGGTTCATTGCGTTACGTATTTGTAAATCTTGTTATATATGCTTAGATATTACTAGATAAATATGTTCGCATGTCGTTCGCATCGAACACATTTTGTTGTTACGGACTGCGTCAAATAATTATATATTTTTTTTCTCGAAATAATTGATTTTAGAATTTTTCTAAATAATTTTTATAAATTCTGCTAATCAGTTTACTGCAAAAAATAAAAAAAAAACGATTAAATATGTGCAAAATATTTGTATTTAATCCAACCATTTAAAAAGAAAATATAAATATTATGTCCGACTCTGCAATCTGTCGGTTTGGATTAATACCGGTTTGCAGTCTTGTTAAATAAATTTACCATAAAAATATTTGCTTTGCTTTTAAAAATGCATTCACAAAACACTCAACTCTACTCTATAAAATTTTTTTTCTATTTGCACACGGCGCAACAATTGCAAGAGCTGCATAATATTTTCAGCAGGTTCAACTATTTTTAATATGTTTCTTAAACTATAGTGAGTTATTGTTGTTGCATTTTTGCAACGCTACAAATTGAATTAAATATTATTTATGGTCGTGCATTTTTGCAAGCGTCGCAAAACAAAGTTTTTGTTAGGAAAAGTTACACACATGGAATTGCATAATTTCGAGGTATAATTTGAAAAACCAACTGGCGGCCTTTTAAGCCTGCCCGCCTGAAATGCGGCAAGAGTGTGGGCTTAGTGTTTGGAGAGGGGGGCGGGGGCGGTTTAGGTGGGGGCTTAGACATGGGTAGAGGGTGTGAAGGCGGGTCGGGTTAGGTTGGCACTTAACCCGCTCACAGGCACATTTGTTTTTTGTGTTGTCTTCGCATCGCATCGCGTTGCGTTTTTTTCAGCGCATGTTGAGCGTAAATATATCTATCCTGTTAGGGATACAAGCGGGGTATACACGACTTGGGTGTATAGCAGTGCTACAATATGCAGTACAAAAATACGTGCTACAAAATCAAGCGTAGAAGTATTTAGCAAAAAAAAAAAACTGTAAAACATATACTTCAATAAATTCATGTGTAGATTATTAAAGTTGACAAAAATTATAAAAAGTTTGATAAAAAATTGTTTAAAAAAATAAATAAGTTATTAATTAATAAAAAATTAATAGAGCAAAACTTGGTTCTAAGAGAAAAAATTGCATAAAGATTTATCTTATTTGAGGTGAAAGTTCTGAAAAGTGCAGGCAAATAATCAAATATTCAGTAAATTATCAATAAATAATAATAAGTTAAGGGAAGTCTTGGATTTTGAATCGGATATGTATAATTGAATGTAATTATAAGGTAGCTTCTAGTCGTATATATGAGCGTGCAAGGTCTTAACTTGTTTGCTGGCTCAGTTGGGGCTTTGAGTTGTCAACAAAAATATCACTTGTTTGCATGAAAATCTCAGCCGCTGGTGGTGGATGGATGCTCTAACCCAGTAAATTGTGAATGGTAAGTGGTGTCTATGTAGCTGGCTGTGATGTGGCGCCCACATCTGTTTGGTGTCATTCACGATGTCGCAGTGGCACGATGATAAAGAGAAACAAAGCAACGGTCGCGTTGCTTGCAACAAAAATAGCAAACGCGTGCGGAATTGAGCAATTTTTATGAATAGCAATAGTCACAAATGGAGTCAGGGGCCAGTTACATGCCGTACCCCCTCGCACACACACACACACACACACACACACACACACACACACTCACACTCACGCCAGTTGCCTGTGGTATAGGCAATTCGTGTGGCCAGGCCTTTAGTTCATCTGTCAAGCGCTGGACTGGGAGCATGCTTGACAGTTTGACGCCCCGTAATTCATGGCATGATGAACGCCAACTGTAAAACCCCATTTTTTTAGCCATATTTTTTGCTGTTGATGTTTTTGTTGCTGTTTTTTTTATTTTTGCTGACATTTTACTCGTGACAGAGCGGGCCTACAACATATGTTAGCATTTAACATGAGTACTTTCCCGTGAAGTTTTTGTGCAAAGCAACAAATTAAATTAAACATATTAAAAATGCTACTAATTTCATTTCGCTGGCGCATCAAATTCAATTTTATCAAATGAAGCTGAAAAAAAATGTAAAACCCAAAAACGGTTGCGGAAAAATTGGCAAAGGGTTTTGCTGCTCATAATTTATTACCTGTAGTCGACCAACTTAATTATGCGCTTAACGTAATTATACGTAGCGAAAAATCGAAGCACAAATTGCGCAAATGCCAAACGCAGTCTGAAACACGAAGAAAATTACGCTTGTGCAAGCAGCGACATCGGAATACCCTAGCTTGAAGTGCCAATTTCGTATTCCTGAACCAGACTTCTGTTGCTGCTTCTTCTAAACTTAAATTCTCTCTAAACACTAATTAACATTTTTATACTAACTAAGATTGCGTTTGTTCGATTTAATATTAGAATGGAACAGCATGCCAAGTGCATTCGTAGCTTAGTGGATTATTGAATTGAATTCGGTGCACTTATGACCTTTCTTAATGAAATGTTGGAATGGAGCACTTTGAACACTTTAAAATCTTAGTGTTGCAATTCCACTCGTTCCACCCTTGGCGTTTCTTCTTAGATTACACATTGCCCGCACGAAAGATAAAAAAATACTTTAAGTTTGTTCGAGACAATACTGGAATGGAAGAGCATAACAATTTAAAATATAGTTTTCTTACATTGGCTTAATGGATTATTGAGAAACGAAAATAATAATATATATTGTTGATATTATAACAGCCTTGGAATGGTGGTAAACATGATATGAAAATCAGAATGCCCGCTTCAAAGAATATCAAAAATGCTCCGTTAAGGCAGACGTCGCATCGTTGGCGCTTTGCAAAATTTGCTGCCCATTCATAAAAGCGATAATTGAGTCGACGGCGGCGCCGACTGCGCCGCACAGTATTGACCGCATCGCGCAATTTTTATTCAGCTGCGTAATGGCCGCGTCGACAACTGTCCCGACTTCCCCATATATCCCGCCAACCCCTATCCCGGAACCGATCTCTTTGGCCACGTTACTAGCGGATAACGGCTGCAGCTGCGAGTTGAACTAATTTAATTAATTGAATTCATTTGGTGACTCTGCCGGCGACCAAAACACGCCAACGCACATGTGTGTGTGCGTGTATAACACCAAATTAACGGTGCAATTGCCGGCTACCGCACTCCCCCATAACCAGGCGCTCGAACTGCGCGTGAAAGAGTGCATTTTTGGTTTCGGCTTTTGAGGTTGCATCCACCTTTTTTCTTCATTGACCATGGCCAGATGAAACTGGTATTACCAGGTAATACCAGCGGCAGTGGCAGTTGACTGAACTGTGGGCTGTGTGGGTTCTATGAATTGGGCCGAAGCTGGACAGTGTCCAAAATATGGTTTTGTGGCCAGCTAATCTTTCACTTAAAAATGAAAAAAGGCTTGGCTAATTTAAGTTTTACATACATTTTACATTTTCTACAATGTGTTGTCTTACTTTCTCGTTAATCCTATTAATATTTATACTTGCATATAATTATTTTGAGACGGGTTTTATTTATTTTTATTATTATTATAATATTTTTTTATGCGTACTCAATTTGTAATAGAGAGGATTAAACTACAATCATATGGAATTTCCACATAATGTCGCTTCATTAAATAAAAATTGAGCTATGACTTTTGATTGACTTAACATAATATTTGCTATCTTCAGCCCCGGTTAGCTAAGCTCCGCAGCCAGTCAGGGGTTGCTAACCTTGATTAATGTTAACTACTCCAATTGTATCGGCTGCAGGTTTGCCTTTATCCCAAATTGAAAATAATTGCAATCAGTTGCCAGACGATGCCGATACCTTTGCGGCCTTTCCAAATTAGCGCATCGCTGCCTGCCTGCCATTTAACTTATGCGGTTCGAGGCCTCAAATTAGATGCAACTGCCAAAATGTTGCACTATTTACAGCATTTTCACTTTTAACAACTGTTGGCATCAGCTTTAATTCCATTTCCATTTTCGCCTATTTGTCCGTATGTATGAATGCAAGGAACTCAAAACCTACAGCAGCTACAATTATCTTCCGCTTCCCTCACATAACACCAAATCTAGTAAATAAAAAACACGTGTATAACTGG